AAGAAAAACAATATGCAGCTGTTTTTGAGTATAACAAAAGCAGTCTCCCCCCCCCCCCATGATGTAAGACAAATAATTTTTCACATGTTTTTATACAGTCCTGGGGAGTGTTTCATGAAGGGTCTTGTCAGTGATTTTCAGTGACAACTGTTATAAGCTACTGAAATCCATGCATCTGATTGGCTGAGAGCAACTTTGTTAGTGAAAATCACTGACAAGACTCTTCATAAAATGCTCCCCTTTACTTTCGATAAACTGCATACATGCAATCCTACAGAATGAAGGCACACATTTTGTCTTCTAGGCAATTCCACTGGTTGGTCCAAAATAGTGAATGTGAGTAACCAACTTCTGAAGTTTTGAAGCTGCATTTACTACTCTAATATATACATGTATGTGCAGTGTTGTGAATAAAACTCATTTACCTTTAAACACCTATAGTCAGAGAACAGGAGATTAAGAGGTTACTCAATATCTCTCTAAATGTAACGTGAGTAACCATGGAATTGCCCTTCTGTAGTTTGGACAAAGGAAGTTAAAATAACGACAGTAGTTTGATGAAAATGATTCATTGATTCAGTACGTACCTGAACTTGAAGTTGATGTTGTTTTGTTGGCTGGGTTAATACAGTAGGTATGGTCAAAGGAAACGCACAATTTCTTGGTAGCACTAACAGCGTTTGGTGTACAGGGAAGGCGTTTCAGAGGTCGCCTGGGCTTCAGCACACTGCGATGGCAGAATATGGTTGGTACTGCCTGCCACTTCAGTTTTTTCTTCCCATCTGCTCTTCCATTTTCAAATTGTGATTCATCGAAGTGAATCTGCAGAAAAGAAGATACAATTTTGTTAATTCTAATTACTCCCTGGTCCTAAATGTAGGTAGTGCTATATATTTCAACAAATGTCACTGCATCTTGTCACCCCCCCCCCCTTCACATCACTAGGTCAGTTGGGAGAATATTAAAGTTGAACTTCTCATTGTCTGAAATTTAATAATTTTACTAATAATTACTCTAATACAAAATCCCCTAATCTACTTTAACTAACTACACTTAGTGACACTGACAAATACAGAATCTCTGATGAAATCTCCAGTGGTGCTATGTTGGGTCTCAAGAAAGAGATTTGATCATATATGAACAAGGGCTAGTGTCGGAATTCAGGAGAGCAGTTTTCTCTCGTCCTCCTTTGGAGGGCATACTTTGTATGACTGAATCTCTTTGTTGAGACCCAGACATTAGCACCAATGCCTAGATTTTATCAGACATCTCACTATTCCACATCAAATAGTTTTGATTCTGTTGCATCACCAACAGCACATGCGGATACGCTAAAAAGCCACCATTTTCAAATGTGAATTACAAACGGAACCATGAAGACCGAAACATCTTTGTTGTTTAAAAAATTCTGAAACTCATTTTTTTGCCTAAATTACTTTTTTTGACATTTTTTTTGGTAAAAAAACTGGGTCAAAATGAAAATGTGATAGGCAGATTCTTCATGAAAAATTACACCTGATTGTATACTTTTGTTTTCATAACATTTTTTGTCATGATCCCCACATCAAACAAATGATTTTAGAGAGGAAAAAATTTGGCTGAGAAAAAGGGCCTTATTGTTGGTGTTGACTTGTTTTTATTGTCCTCTTGTTCAGTCTCCCAAATCGGCCGTGCCCCTCTACTGCCAGTCTAGCGTTAACAATTAAGTTAGATCATAAGACTGGAGTGAAAGGATATTCATTTCTTTTTAAATTTCACTTTCAACTCTACTGCCAGTCTAACGTTAACAATCAAGTTAAGTTAGCTCATAAGACTGGAGTGAGAGGATATTTTTTTTTTAATTTCACTTTCAACTCTGAAACTTCAAATTTGTACTCTGTCTTAGACTAGCCTTAAGGGCTCTCTCGAAATGTTTTTTTAATGATATTATTCGAGAGAGCCTTAAACGGCTCCCATACCCCTGCACGGAGAGGCATGTAAACAAAACTCAAAAGTGGTCCAAAATCACACTTTCGCGCACCCGACCAATATTGGACAGTGGCTTTGATAAATTTTGTCCGAGTTTTGGTCTTAATTAGCGCTTTAATTTCAAAATCGGATCTAAAAATAACAAAATAAGAGCAATTTTCTTACCAGACCGATACAGCTCAGCTCCCTTTTCACGTGTACCGTGTGAATTCACGATGTCTACACAATGGTGATGACCTCTGACTGGCACTTCCGTAATTGTGGGTAAATTGTGCTGCTTCCGTATAATGCGCTGTATGAGTGTTATTCAGCGCATTATACGGAAGCAGCACATTTACGAAGTGCTAGTCAGAGGTCATCACCATTGTGTAGACATCGTGAATTCACACGGTACACGTGAAAAGGGAGCTGAGCTGTATCGGTCTGGTAAGAAAATTGCTCTTATTTTGTTATTTTTAGATCCGATTTTGAAATTAAAGCGCTAATTAAGACCAAAACTCGGACAAAATTTATCAAAGCCACTGTCCAATATTGGTCGGGTGCGCGAAAGTGTGATTTTGGACCACTTTTGAGTTTTGTTTACATGCCTCTCCGTGCAGGGGTATGGGAGCCGTTTAAGGCTCTCTCGAATAATATCATTAAAAAAACATTTCGAGAGAGCCCTTAAGGCTATCTTAGACCAGTTCAAGAGACCCTGAATCAGGTTACCTAGCAATTTCTTTAATTAAATCTTGGTTAGAGTGATTTTGTGTCTGTTTTAAAAGAGTGCAGCAGACACGTTTCAGTGACAGTGGCCAGTAGTCAGTACAGTGGCAGTGGCAGTGGCAGTGCAAGAACCCAGAAATTCGAATCCACTCTCAAGCTTTTTAACAATAACATCTGAATTCTTGCTATTATTCACCATTCATGTGTTTATACATTCTAAGACTAAAAGTCGGTTGTTCTTTAAGGTTTAATAAACATTCTGTTCAGTTCTGGTTGAATTCTGTAGACCAATTCAGACAGAAGAAAGGCATGCCTATTCTGCAAGTTCAAGTTTACATACATAACCTATACACCGATATTAATACATGGGACCGATACTTACCTCGCACAAACAAGATGAAGAAGTTGGTTTCCACCCCACTCTGCTCACTTTGTTCTCCCATATTTTTCGTCTTTGTGGATCTGCGGGGAACCTATACATCTTGTACCCCTTCTCTGATTTATTGCTGCACCCGAAGGCGCAACAACCCGTCATTTTGTCGTGTTCTTTAAATCACTGACTGTCAGCTCGAGCTCGTTTGATATCACGGTCGCGGTAAGCGCTGTGCGTTGCGCTGCGCTGCGGAGTGAAACAAAATGGCGCCAGGAGTCACGTGACCATCAAATTCCGGTCCCCCTATGTCGCTACTCTCTATATATAGGTACTCTAAGTTATACTAGTCTTCTCATTTGGTTATAGAGTTTGTTTTTCCTTTAGGTCATTTTCGTACATGTTTGCGTGTGATACTAACGTTTTCAACCATGTTTCACCAAAATCTATCATTTTCTGGCGCGACTGGATTTTGACATACCATTTCCAAAACAATGTTGCTCGTTGAAGCATGTATGGATTGCTGCGATCAATATATTATATCAAAGCTCATTACCGTCTATACGAAGCAAGGTATCACTGAATATGATGTTTATGAAATTATATAAACCAACTTGAACTAAAATATCACTCACCTGAGAAAAAGGAGATGATGAAAAGAATCGGTTTAATCGAATTCGTTCGTAAGCTATGGCCATGCTTTCAAAATGTGATCGTCAGGCTCGGGTAGTGGACACTGACAGTGCGATAATTACCAATCAACGCTAAATGGCTTAAGTGACAATAGGACTCGTTGGAGCAAAATTTATCTTCCAATCGACTCACTCATCATTAACTATATATAAAAGCAGGGCAGCGGAGCATCTTTCAAAGTGGGGTTTATCAATTAAAAAGGGCACTTTAAAAAGGGGGCATCTACAAGGGGTGAAAAGGGGGCACTTCTCACAATTAAAAGGGGGCACTCGATCATTATAGAGACGGAAGGGGCATTTATCAAAAGGGGAAAGGTGCGCTATATTCAGATCCTTCAGATTAATTTTATTGGTCCATTTGGAAATTCATTTGTTGGCATTACATAGGCACATGAACAATATACAATAGAAAATAATATACACAATTAGGTAATATACAGTAGCAAATGTACAATGACAAATTATAAATTATAAACCGTTTTTACATAGTGGAATTATATATAAAAAAAAGTAGAATAGATAAATAAATGGACTTCCAACACTATTGAAAATGTACGATTGCGTATAATTTGGAAGTAGTATTGTTGTTATATTTTATTATTATTATTTTTATCATTATTATCATCATCATTATTATCACAAATGAAAAGGGGAATGTGTCAATGACAATTATGAGAGAGTTTTAAGACTAAACAAAAACACTTTTCGATAAGATAGAGATAAATAGAGAGAGAGAGAGAGAGAGAGAGAGAGAGAGCCTGTTCCTGACACCAAGGATTCCAGTATCCTTGTTTGTCTGTTTTTTTATAATAGTTATTTATTATTAGTTAATCGTTCTGGTTAGTTGAACAGAGACAGATTATTACAAGATACAACTTCAATAGATTATTATTGATTGTTATACATGTACTTATTTTAATCTTACAGTTACAGGTACAGCTTAGAGTTAGATTGTTATGCTGTTATCAACCTTACATACATGAATGCAGGTTACATGTTACTCTTAGAGTTTGGATTGTTTGTACATAGGCCTAGTATAGTTTAGTTATACTCTTTGTGAGATTTGTTGTTATTATACTCATCATGTTTATACTCCCTATATATCTATGTAACATATGTTTTATGGACCTCTGCCTTGTGTAGATGAGTCTGAAATAAAGTTCTGAATTGAATTGAATTGAAGTGGAGTGATTTGGGGCCGATATTATTGAGAGTTGATGCGCGCCATCTACGTTAAATACCATTTTGTCTTTTGTCAACAAAAATGAACCCTGCCCATTTTTTCTAACCTGAATTGATATGCCAAAATATCAATCACCACCATTGGACTGTCTTTCTGTGCAACTGATGGGCTAACCAAATGGTGAGAAAAGGTGAGGATGAAATGAAGTTAATTTTGCATGAGAAATATGCACTGTTGTCCCTTCTTATGACCTCCTGAAACTGTTTTGATCGTGCAGCTGAATCGGATTCATGAACGGACATTCCTCGAATACCATAGTCCCACCCGTAGATGTGTGTATCAAGTGTGTGGTTTTAAAGGGAACGATTATTGGCAGTCGGTCGGTCAGTGCAGTGCGTGTGTAGCCTGCCATGACAAAAGTGCGTAGATCTAGATCTAGTAGAAGGTTTAATTTAATGTTATGCACATCATGAGAATAGCTACTACTAATTCATTGTGAACACACTTGCATGTTCGACCTAAGAAGTAAGAGTTAGACTATTAAAGAAACTAAACTAAATCTCAGACTCAGAGTCAGACTCATTGCATGGAACTTGCAGGTGGAAAGAAGACGAGAAAAAATGGGTTTGTTGAAATTTGCTCATGATGACGAAATCATGAAATGAAGCACTGTTTTTTACAGAGTGCATGCATTGTAGGAGTGGGTTTCTGTAGAATCTCTTTCAATGTACCCCTGCGGCTACATCAATGTTGAACTCTGCCTGCGCCACTGTTCTATCTCTGTATTTTCTTATTTACAGTATCTTTCTTGACAATCTTCACCTTTCTGCGAATTCCCAGGATCCTCCAATTTGCTAGGATTGGACAAATTACAAAGTCAACCAAAAAAGAAGAAGAAGAAGATAATCCCAAAACTGAACAAACAGAAGAGCCTAGAGTAGACTAGAGGCTTATGGCCAATCAATCGTACTCGTCATAGGCAGTGTTTAAATCTAGAGACTTGTGTCAAGATTTTAGTTAGACTCTAGACCAAAAAATCAGTCTATTTCGTTCTGGGACATGTTCCACTAATACTTCAACTGGCTTCACCAAATCCCTCATAGAGCATAGAGCATAGAGCATCAAAAGACAAAACATGTTCAACGTAGAATCTAAAGGCTCGGTCAAAAATGCCATTACAAACTGCTACGAACGCCGTACGAAAGATTTTCAGACAACGGAAATTCGGGAAGACAATGGAAAAACAGAGATTCGTACAAAATTATCGTTCGTACGAAAGTTTGTGACCGTAGCATCACTCCTCCAAGCAGATGGATCTTCCTATCTAGATTTTTGGTAGCCTAATTTGGAGACAATTTACCAATTGGGATACCAATTTCATTTGCTCAAAATAAAAAGTGTGATGAGCTAATTCCCCATGAAAATGACCCCTTTTGACCAACTACTTTTGTTTTCATAACAGTATTTGTTATGATGATCCTCACACAAAACCATAGGCTCATGTATTCAGAGAGGCAACAAATTTTGCTGGGGAAAATGGCCGTTCAGCTAAACCTGTGCATGCACACATGATAACCGTTAGTGATAGGGTGATAGTAATCATGCAAACCCACCTTTCATCAACCCATCGTTAGCTTAATTGGTAAGGACAGCGTAAGAACGTTAGAACATTGTAGTTGTGGGTACGAATGTCAAATTTATTCAGTTTTATTTTTTTCCTTTATCAATAGTGAAGCAAAGCAATAACTTTCAAAGTCTAATTGTCTGTGAGGTAGGCACAGCTACCTACACTTTGCGAGCCATAAAAAATGTGACCTTTACTTTGAATTCACAAATAATAAACAAATCTTGGAGCCCATATAGTGTCGATACTGTATGTATCAAAACTGAATCTCCAATATGGGGGACACGCTCTGAAATGGGAGAGAATTTATTTATTTTTATTTATTTATTTCTGATATTTATACAGGGTGGCACATATCACCAATTTGGTGGTCTTCCATGAGGCCCTGTTTGGTAATAATAAAAACAAATAACAGCATCAAAAAACAAAATAGATAAATACACAAGCATATAAACAGGTAAAATACAAATTGGCCATATGCGCGACTACTGATAAATATTCAAATATTTGTGTAGACTTCCAAAGGCTGAACATTGATTGTTGTGTGTTTGACGTGGAGTTGGTTTTGCAATCATTCGATAGACCTGCATGCTCATTGCATATCAGGCAGTAAGATTTGGGTAGGCCATTTCTACAAAACTGGCATATTCATTGTACTCTGGATGATTTGGTCAAAAATATTCCTCAATCAATAAAATATAGATTCTAGTGGAACAAATTCTGCATTGGATATAGACTCAATATTTCAGTATACTTTGTAATTCCTACAAATGTACATGTAGCCTTCTGGTTTGAAAGATACTGTAATGCCAAAACTTCTCTGAAAGGAGACATTGTACAAGTATGGGTTATTAACAAAAATTATTCCTTGGGCGGAAAGTCTGCCTAATATTAGGAGTGGCCGAGTGCTGAATCATTTTTGCTTATCTTTAGAATACCCCACCAATAGGGTTTATGACCATGAACGTGTAAGACCATGGGTTAGAATTAGGGTTAGGGTTAGGATTAAGTTTAATGTTACCTAAGAAACTTAATTCTTTAGATTTAGTTTCATTGGTGAAGCGTTGGATATAGACTCATGTCGGGTCAATTTTTATTGAGTATTGTAATGTTGATCACAATTTTTGTTGGGACTCAAACTGGCTTCTCTGGTCTTCCTAAAACAAAAATAGTTTCCGCCGAAGCAAAGTTTGCTCCCGTGGGCTAAAGTTACTAAGGTGGCTTAATAGCAAAAGGTCATGGCACAAAAAGAAAAGGTCCTGAATAAAACAAAAGGCATAACAGTTAGTGACAGCGGTGAATCAAAACTTGTAATTTGAAAAGTATAGATGGTATATTTTATGAGGTAGTAGAGATTATTAAAAATATCTCCAGTGTCCTATTTAATTGGTTCTACCTCAGTGGCATGAAGATATAATTTTTCAACAACTACACATTTTTTGCCTGCCAGATGCGCCTTTTTGTTGTCTTTAATCAAGGCAGAAAAACGAGAGAAGCCATTGACTGAAGGTTTGGGCAAAAACAAATTAAAAATAAGAATGAAGTTGCCTTCAATCAATAACAAATTGGCAACTCTGTGATGTATCTTGCGAGCTCCCCTCCCATTTGTCCTGTACTAAAATATTCAAAAATCTATATTTTCTCTAAAGAAAACTTTTAAACATACTTGCACCCTGAAAACAATTATTGCAAATATGTTTTTATCAGGGTTGTTTGATTTAAATCATGTCGATTTAAATCATGATTTAAATCACGATTTAAATCACTTGATTTTTTTCAAAAAAATCACTGATTTAAATCAACTTTTATGAAAAAAATTAGTTTTCTCTATTTTCTCTTCTTCTTAACAGATACTTTCAATGTAATCATTTTCATTTCTGTTCCACATGCTTTAGAGATACTTTAAAAGAATGATACACCCTCATGGAGTCTGATTTAACACCACTGTTTTATTTTCAAATTGTAAAAACAAGCAAAACTGATGAAAACAACAAGTTTCTAACGAAGTAATGATAAATAACTCTCTGTATGTACACCAAACTGTTAAATCTTCAATAAAATAATATATAAAATCTACAAAGGTGCTCAAAGTCCACAACTTGGATACTTTTACAAAACAGCTGAACTACTTGTATGTACCTCCTTCTTGTTACTATTAATACCCATTCTTTCAATTACTTAAGTTGAAGGCATATGTGTACATTTGATAAGAATTACATGTATATTTGCATGCTTGTGTATTTTCTTATCAATACCCATACATTCAATTACACAATTTCAAAGTACACATATATACTTAATAAGTAAGAATTTAAAAATGGGAAAGTTGCTGGGCAAGTGTTACTGTATGCAGCAATACAACTGCTGTGCTTGCTTGTTCATGTAATAGTTTGAAAAAACAGCACATCAATGATGTGGTGGACAGTGGTGCTTATCCTGCATCTTGCAACGAAATTTATTGAAGTTTTATTTGGAACTGAGGTTACACTGTAATGAAAACATAAAATGTGTATTTTGTTACAAGCATATCAGGAAGTGCCTATTGCAAATCTGGTTAAATATTACATTCAAATTAGATGTTAACGTACAGACTGATATAAAAATTTCAAGAGTTTAAATGTATACATAATACATAACATTACTTGGACTTCCATAAAATGTCCCTCTCTATAATGCAAATAAATAAAAAAAAATAAAAAAAAAATTACCCGTATATAAGTGGATTATTGTGTCAAATAGTACAATACACAATGTTCAAAAGACTACTTGACCACTATTATTGGTGTAAAACAGTTTAAATATAGTCTAAAACTTGTTAAGTGTGACCATTATTTTTCGTTGGAAAAAAATCAAAAAAATCTGATTTAAATCATAAAAATCCGATTTAAATCAAAAAAATCAACAACCCTGGTTTTTATACCACCCATGTACGAAACAAATCTATTCTGTGACTTTCCGTTATCTATAAATAGGAAATTAGAAGGTTTTGAAATGTCTCTATGTATGGAGCAATTTGAGAGAGGAGCTTGCATGATACATGTACCTCATATTGTTGCCAATTTGTGTTTTACTGATGACATTATGACAAGTTAAAAAATTCACGACTTTTCTACTTTCAATCGGATTTTGCTCAAATTTTCACTGACAAGTTCCTCTCATATTTCTACTTTTATTAAAACCAAATTAATATTAGGGTGGACTTCCCTTTAAAGATGTATTGACATGTACACCGTTACTTTGTGATTTAGATCGTTTTTTTTACTATTTGTACAAGCAAGGAGTTAAAGCTTATCTGTACTAGTGTACAGGAGGGATCAGATCTCCTTGCAAGGTCACTGGACCGGTGGTTATCTCATCAACTCAGCTCTCAAATAACATAAGAAAAAGAGGATCATGGGGGACCAATGGTCACCGATTATGCATTGTTGTATAGAGGGCACAAGTAGCTATATGCAGTGCAGTGGGGCTTTAAGTTTAAGATATATTGTAATGTGCATCATAACTTTGTGTTATTCATTGTTGTTTTTCTTTGTTGTGTGACTCTTTCAGGGCAGGTGAATGCCAGACAGTTGTCACATTTCATAGGAGCGGGCCTTGCTGATGACCACCAGCAGCAGGAAGAAGTGCAGGAGCAGGAGCTACATGTAGAGGGAGGGCTCCAGGACAGCATGGAGCACAGAGATGGAGGTCCAAGACAGCTCTCTCATGAAGCCCAGCCATACCATGGGGACGAGAGCCTCCTTCGCAGGAGCTACGGTGGATTCGGGGTCAACATGCATCCACAGGGCATTCCTCTGGGGTACAGACCCAGCGAAGAAGCGCCGCAGCGTGAGGACCCTCGAAACGCGATCCACCGTCCATACGAGCAGCGGGAAGTGGTTAACGTCCACCAGCCTGTGGAGCCTGTGAGATGGAGCAGGGAGGAGGAGCCGGGGTACGATGAGAGCAACAAGCAGCTAGCAGTTGCACAGATGATGGCAGAGATGCATCAGGGGAACATGCTTCAGCAGCGCAGTAGTAACCTGATGATGATGGCCAGTCAAATGGGACAAGGAAGGTATCATCCAGATTTCTTACAGACAGGAGGTAGGATGCTATTTGGTGCTCCACCTCCTAGAGTGAGCACAGAGGAACGCTTTCCCTATCAAGCGGAGATGATGAGACAAAACCAGGCTATGATGTTTGGTATGGCTCCACCGGCAATCGAGAAGGGAAGGTTTGAAGAACTCTTTCAGCAGCAAAGAGGTATGATGATGGACATGGCTGCTAGGGGAATAGGTGACTCCAGAATGCAGGAGTTTTATCTAGGACGGGGAGGGATGGTTGATCCTAGTCCTAGAGAGGCCATCCACTCCAGGAATCATGTAGACTTTGGACACCCTCGGGTGGGAATGGTGATGGGTATGAGCCATGATGGATGGCGAGGCTCTGCAGAGAATGTAGACACTGGTGAAGCTGAAGATATCAGGCATGAGGTACCACTAGATGGAGTCGAGACGAATCAGCTGAAGGTAGAATCACACATGACAGAGCCAAGTAGGGAACATTTTATAGATAGGCCAATCTTGCCACACAGAGCGGAGCAAAGCCCCGACAGTACTCCAAACATGAACATCATCCAACCTAATCATACATTTACAAATGAAGGGATTATTAATGAGAGGGCTGTTCAGAGGATTCCAGAAACTGTGGGTACTGTGAGTAATAATCTTCCATTACCTGGATGTGGGTCGTTAGGAGTCAGAGACACAGTGGCAGAGATGGTGATGGAAATGGAGAGAAGGGACAGAAAAAAGATGCAAGAGATGAGTGGTTCAGACGACACTAGCAGTTCGGACCAATCCGATTCAGAATCGGAAGCAGAAGAAACGGAAGGAAACAAGCCGAAGCACCACAGTATTCCAGCCCAAGTTTCACCTTGTGAAGTGGACGAGACTTCCAAAGTCCTGCATCCTGATAGGAATGACCTAAAGCTCCCACATGATTCCTACTCCCAGGAGAGTGGGAGTGAGAGTGATGAATCTTCCGTAGCTCCTTACCATGACCTTGAAAAGAACCCATCTTCTGTTAGTTCCCAGGATGATGCAGAATCCCCCGGTCCTACCCTGGCATTTTCTTTACCAGCTCCTATGACTATGAAAGCAAAGCTGATGGCTGCAGTGCGCCAAGATATCAAGGAAGAGGAAATGTCTGGAGATTTGAGAACCCATCAAAATTCAGATTTATCCTCTGATGAGAAACATGACAGTGGGGAAGAAGCAGAGGAAAGTGCCAATGATGAAGCAGATCCCAAGCTGCCCGAAAAAAATCACGAAAAGTCCCTGAATACCCTGCAACAAGATAGTCCTGACAGTGACTTATCCTCACACCCGGACAGTCAGCTTGACATCAAGTGTGTCAGGATGCCAATGTGGCGTTGGATCGGCCCCAAGCAGAGCAAAAGCACCCGCGTGACGCGGCAAAGTACCAAAAAGGGTAACCTGACGATCCGATTAGTCAAGAGGAAACAACCGCCAAAGAAACGTGGCAGAAGAAGAAAAGCTGTTGCTGTACCCATCACCAAAGAAAGCTTCCCGACAGCAGTGCCCTGCGCCCATCCCACCTACAAGAGGAGGGGCAAGGTCTTCCAGAAAGTGGTGATGGAGGACATGGTAGTCATGGATGGACAGATCATGACAGTCGCCAAGAGAGGGCGTCCCAGGAAGATCAGGACAGAAGGGGAACTCCCTCAAAAGGTAAATACGGTTGCTCATTAAAGCAAGTTAGCACGAAAAAGCATAAAAAGGCACAGTAAAAAACTGAATAATTGTTGAAAATTATATTCTGATGGCATTGAGGTAGAACCAAATCATTAAAAACGCAAAGTAAATATCTCTCCTACCTTGATTGGACTAAATTCTTTATTTCTAAATCTTTATATTTGCCAAAATACAACCCTTGTGTGTTCTTGAAATGTGTTTTTGTTCCATTACGTTGCACAAAAGTACTGTATGTTATCAATTATTAAGAAGCAGTCATACAGATGCAAACATTATTTTTTACAACCTAAAGTAAAATATATGAAACATTTTTCTAACTTGCATTTGGTTATTAAAGTTGTTGGAATGTGGACTTCATGTTTGGTTCGAGGTTCGATTCCTGCCGCAACACTAATGTCCTTTCACAGAACATAAACCTACGTTTGCCCTTCTTCACCCAGGTGTTAAATGGGTACTGGTGAGAAGGGATTCTTTGAATGCTGTAAGCACTGAAATCGGTAGCCTAACAGAGCCTGGATAATATTGGAGTGCCTTGAGGCTTGAGCACCTTACATGGTGGATATGTGCGCTATAAAGATATCCAATATTATTATTATACCTAATATTATTTCCTCTTTCCTTATTTTATTATCAAGATGGATAATTAGATCTTGTTTATTAGCATCAAAATGATCAAAAATGCATATCAAAGTCTCTTGGGCTTAGCTCAAAGGTTTGGTTTTGCGGGATGGAACATCAGTCTGCAGAGTAATGAAAGGCAGAATGACAAAGAAAAACAAACTTTAGCTGAAATTTCTGGAAAAATGTTATAATTGTTATTTTGTCTCCATGCATATTTGAAACGTACATGTACATAAAAATGGTCTACCAGTTTTATTGTAGTGCGATGATTAACAATTTCTGCGATTGTGTGCAGTTTGTATCTGCTAGGAGCTAGAACTTATCTCTCTCTCTCTTGATTTGTTTTTTCTTTTGTTTCTATGTTTCCCTTCCTCACTTTTTGTGACTGTCTTTCTTGTTTCTTCTTTCAGAGGGTGAGACAAAAGAGAGTTAACCAAGACGACAAGGGACCACCAAAGAAGGTATGTAATTGTAATGGGCCCATAATTGGTCGGTGACAACAAAATGAAAACGAAAGAAGCTTGGATATACAGTTGAAGTTCACTTTATTATTTATAAAATCAGCCAAAGCTGCAGTAGTTCAAACGAAGATTATTTAAGGACATTTTAAACTAGCTTATTCTCTCAGAGGCTGGGCGGCCCTATAGTTTGAGCGAATCTAGCAGCACATCCTTAACATAGTAACGGAACAAAATAAACTGAGCTACCAAATTCCGCACATGGCATTTAAATACTCCGGCACTTGACGAGGCTTAAAAATCACATGATCTTATTAGCCAATCAGGAGGACCCTTACAAAGACAAACAATTACAAAATAGGATATATAAAATGACCCTTGGGTCATCCGACCTCTAGACCAGTTCAATCTACCAATTAAGAGGAGTTATACAATGTACATATAATTAAATATAACCAATGATGACAAAGCACAATAGATAGAGTGATTTGAACTAAGTACCGAAGAAAATGGGAGGAGCCTACAGCCCCGCGAGAATGTCAGGTCCCTGGAAAAACAGTATATTGTCTAACGTATTTATCGGAAATGAACACCTGTAAATCTAATGCAGGAACTCAAGTCCAACATGTTTACCTGTTCCTGGCATACTATCAGGAACATAATTAATGCTAATCAACTATTCAACTTTTAGATGTATACAAAGTCAAACTAATAACCGTACCAATGATCAATTTAACCCAACTCCTCTGTTGCTATAGCGCCCCCTTTAGGTCAATTTGTTGCCCAAATCAGCGTATCACTACATAATCAGTTCAGCATCAAAACAAATCAGCTCTGCCTTGCCAATTTAGAGTGTGGTGGTGTGACTAATTCCTCAAAAAGCGGTCAGCTTTGAGTTGGTTTCAAGTTGGTTAGTTGGTGACAGAGACCCCTTAAAGGTAATACAAAGTTTTGGTATGGGGTCATGAATTTGATTCAAATGAACATATTGGAGGCATATGCGATCCTATAATATTCAGTGACCGTTGTCGCGGTTGAAATCGAGCCTAAAATTATGAAATTGTAAATAATAAACTCTTTATGTTGTATAGCTCCCTCTCAAGGTCAAGATATTTATTAAGCTAAAAAACAATTTTTCTTCACTAAAATCAACCGATTAGCTATTCCCTTTTAGAAATTTTATATCACAACTACATATTCTGAAATTGTCATGGTCGCAGCTACCATTGTACGACCGTAGGCGCTATTTGAAATTTATCAAAATTTACCGGGAGCACCGGTAAATTTTTATATTTAATTTTTCTCGAAAGCAGAAGTATTTTAAGGGCTAAATTTTCTAGCGCTTATAATACATCCACAGGGGCATCCAAATATATAAAAATTGTAAAGAATCACTATCCACCCAATTTTCAAAATTCCCCAAACTTTGTATTACCTTTAAATTTGTTGGTTTTGAGTTGGTTTAGTGATTTAACCTTAGGCCTTAATAATAATAATAATAATACTATGGAATATTTATATAGCGCACATATCCACCATGCTTGGTGCTCAGGCGCTCCAATTATTATCCTGGCTCTGCTAGGCAGCCAATTTCGGCGCTCACAGCATCCAAGGAATTCCTTCCTACCTTAAACATGGTTAGTTCAGAATTAAATAATGATAAAAAGCCTTCTTATTAGTGCTCCTATTTGTCATATTGTGAGGCTCATTATTGATTATTACCCCCGTTATAGTTGAGCCGCCAAAGTAACTAGCCCTCAATCCGATAGGGTACTCATTTACACATAGGTGGAGAGTGACAAATTTAGATTTGTCAGGACTTTAGTGATATGGCTTGTAGAGCTGTAGAGTTGGTTTTGAGGTGTGACCAAGGTCCTCAATATTGTTCAGTTTGGAATTGGATTAAGTCGGGTTCGACGTTGTGACTAGGATATGATTAATTTTCAGCTTCACAGTTTTCATGAGGTTTGTTCGATTACATTTGCAGAGAGGCAGACCAAGGAAAGAGCATGCTGATAAAGATCAAGTTAAAAAGGTCAGTGATTCCCTTGTGCACTTTCTTTTAAATCTACCCCTCCCCCCCCCCCCCCCGACCAAAGAATTTGTTCCCCCTTCATTTGCAAGCCTGTTTTCAGCTAGTCCGAACAAACAATAACAACCATACCAACCTTAAATTTCAATATTTCTAGGGCAAGGTCACTTTTCTAAAGGGCACATTCCTATATTTTACAGCACAAATAGGAAGAATTGGAAAGCGCACAACAAATCTCCAAGGCCAATGAGAGGGGCATTGAGGCCAATCAAAAGGGCATTCACAACCATGGCCTTGGTGGCCTTGGTGGCCTTGGATTAATATAAGCCCTGCCATACCAACATTATCAATAACAAAAACTCATTTTCAACAACAACAACAACAAAAATTGTATTACTAAATACTAGAAATGGAACAAAATTATATGCAATAAAAGAGAAAAAGTGTTACTAGGCAATCGTTCATGCCAAACTCCGTTCATTAGTACAATGAAAAGTCTCGCAGACCTCGTGTCTCATGCCTGAATTATTTATTTTGTCTGACCCTTGCTTTCCTCTCACCCAAGAACCATTGTCAATTCTAGCACTGATTATGTATCATATGACATTGTATTCTTTTTCCTTGTTTATTACCATCTACGATCTGATGTTGACTTTCTCTCTTTCTCTCTTTTTTTCACTGCTCTACCCATCTCCTCTGCCTTCCTACCTTTGGTCCTCTTTAAATCTCTCGCTCCGTCAGCTCCCGCATCGTACAAAACTGATTTCATGTACCTTTATACCCAACTAAAGCTGTTTATGAATGTACACTGTAGTTAACAATAACTAGAACTATGTATGATCATGATTATTTTGTTGTTGTAAATTGATAGCTTTAAAGTTTACCAGGGATAAACAGATTTCTGAATGGACAATAAATACTTCAATTTCAAATCCAATTTCCAAAAGTATCATGATCAAATCTTATTATATTATTTTGTTTATTAAACTCATTGGAAAAATTCCCTCTTTCTTGTAAATGTTTTGTATACAATGTCCAAAATGCTTGACATGGTCTTGTTAATATACAATTAATAACATGAATATTCACTTTCATTGCATGAATATAAATTTGTATAACCTGAAAACCACTTTCATTATATGATCCAATTAAAAAAATTATCATGATCAAATCTTATTACCGTTATATTATTTTGTTTATTAAACTCATTGGAAAAATTCCGTCTTTCTTGTAAATGTTTTGTATACAATGTCCAAAATGCTTGACATGGTCTTGTAAATATACAATTTAATAACATGAATATTCACTTTCATTGCATGAATATAAATTTGTATAACCTGAATATTCACTTTCATTTATTATGAAATTTATTACATTTTGTTGTGACAGGTCAAGAGAGTAAGAAGCAAGAACAACTTGCCTAGGAACGTCAAGCTCATCAGGCAAGTATCTCTTTAGTCTCTTTAAAGTGACTCAGTAATTCCTTGAATGCTGTGAGCATGGAAATTGGTAGCCTAGCAGAGCCAGGGTAATATTGGAGCGCTTTGAGCACCGTGCAGGGTGGATATGTGCGCTATATAAATATGCAATATTATTATTATTATATTGCCTCAGATTCTGAAACAAAATCCTGGATTTAGCTCATGCTGCGATCATAATCATAAACCTTAAGGTCAGTCGGGAATCCCATGACTTTCACAAGCAGATCACCTGTCTGATTATCAAGATACTTATGATTAGGAATAGAAATCGAACTTTCCATTTTCCTAACGGTTTCTATAACACTACAGTCTACTGGGAAAAATGAGTATGGTAAAACTGGTCCTTCAAAAATTGTTATTGTTTTGAAGCTCTATTTTTTTAGGGCTTCAATATTACACCATATTACAGACACTGATAACATGTAAGGCCATGCATCTCAGATTTAACATTGTTAAACTATGCCTTTAAAGAGAAGGTGGATTCTGAGGAAGGACAAACACATATTCTGAGCTTCCTCTCAGATGCTGGTTTGGAAGACTATATCGACTTGCAGTAGAATAGAGCGGCGCCAGAACCCAAGTTGGATTTGGGGTCTGTATGTCTGGTTAAATATTATCTCTTACTTTAAAGATAAAGTTTAGTTCTGGTCATGTGATTGCATTGTGAAAGAAACGTGGATTCGATCAGAAAAGGTTTATCATCTAGCATATAAGTATTGGTGTGCATTGCAAGGTTCTGGAATCATCAACATGGTAAGAAATTTGGCTCAGTCTTGGTACAGTAACAAGCACTGTACACAGAAAGATGAATATGGGAATACCCAAACACCTGGCGTAAAAATCTGTCCCAATTTTTATGATGTTACATGCCATATTTATAATATTAAGGCATTTTAAAAGCCATGCTTGTCAGGGAACATGTTTCATCTGATGTTCTTCCAAACTTTGCATAATACAATGATAACAATCACAAATTATTGTTCACCTCTTCCCAGAACTCAACCTTCTCTTTAAACATTGATCCATAGAATGCCAGGTTAAGTTTTTAGGGTTAATTTTATACACTTTAACTGGACACATATTTTGATTGGTTAACTTAAAAAGTACATTTAACTCTGCATTTATAAGTCAAATCTGTTTGGAGAGATGTTCTTCATTTGCAAAATTTAACTTAGGAAGTGTACAGTAAATAACACATGTTTTGCATAATTTGGTAAAGTTATATGATTTGAGTCAGGGAAAATTGAACTTGTGTGACCTCGAATTATGCAGAGTAAGCTACTAACTGGGAAATTGAAATAACCCCACCATCACTGATGTGTTGACTGCGCATGGTGATTCAGTTGAACTTTGCAAATCTGAACCACTCACAAAATTTCTGCCGTTACGTATGACTGGTTTTAGAGTAAATGACTGCGCATTCAAAACGCACACAATATTTACTTGTAGTCTTTATTTTTTTTTTCAAGATCTGTCTTTGATTTTTCTAATATGAATACAGCATTCCTGCCCCACAAAACATTGAGAGCGAAAAGGATTCCCCGGACAAGAAGACAAGCCGCGTTGGCCATGGAGGGAAGGACTTTGGCTGCCCGTTCTGCGGGAAAGAATTTAAGTGTGGCTTCCGGCTCAACAAGCACATGCAGACGCACATCCCCAAGGAAGTCCTGGAGCAGAACAATGAGGGAACCATCCAGATGCAGCTGGCCCTGTCACCGGATCGAGAGAAGCGGATGGTGCGCTTCGACCAGTGTCAGTTCTGCAAGCAACTCTTCATGGACCTGAAGGCACACATCCGCAGGGTTCATTCTGAAGCAGAGGAACACCTCTGCAGCATATGCGGGCACGTGCTCCGCAACAAGGAGAGTCTCGTCGCGCATGAGAAACGCCACAAGGTTGTTGCTGCAGGTAAGAAGGAGTTCGTCTGCAAGGAGTGTGGCGCCGACTTCTTCTTCCAGACGGGACTCAATCAGCACTCGAAGCGCCACCTCTCAGAAAGGGCGTGCGTCTGCGAGATCTGCGGGAAAGCTTTCAAGACCACGAAGGATCTTGAGAAGCATAAACTTGTCCACACGAAGCCACACTCATGCCAGGTGTGCAAACGGCGGTTTGGGCAGAAGTCCAACATGAAAGCTCATATGAGGCAGCATTCCGGTGACAAGCCGTTCCGCTGTGACCTCTGCAGTGCTTCCTTCACTCACAACGTCAGCCTGAAGACCCACAAGAAGAACACTCATGGCATTGATTGGTGGAAGGAGAACGGAAAGAAAGAAGAGACAGATGAGAAAATGGAGAAGATGGCGATCATGAATGCATGCCTGGACTATTTCGGCAATACTGGCGGTGGGAATGGCCCAAAGTGGGAACCACCCGTCCCTCCCTCTAATCCCAATTCTAATCCTCATCCTAACCCCATTAATCCGCTCCACTCTCTTAATCCCATCAACGCATTAAACCCCATCAATCATTTCACCCCTATCAACCACGGTCAGATGAGTGAGGGTAACGATGACCACACCCCAATGCACCTTCCACACTTCACCCCACTCAACTCGTTGAGTGCGATGCACCCTGATACCAGGCCACACCCACTTGAAGACATCAAACCGATCGTCTAGACACATTCTATCTTAAAGCTCGGTTCACACATAGTGCAGTAAACCACGTTTAAAATGCTTGGGCAAAATGAAAAACCCTATGCATAGTGGGTTTCACATTTCTGTTTGTTCTAAAGGGAAGCCATTTTTCAGGCTTCTGCCTCATTTCAGAACCTGAAATCGCACTAATTCAGACTTTTTCAGCCTTCATGCTATACAGCATATTTTGGGCTCCGAAATGATGAACCACTTTTCATTCTCTTCAGATACAACCATCTGGTAGTTAAAACACAAGATTTTGGCGTAGGCACCTTTTCATCATCCCAAATTTCCAGTCATTGATGCGTGAAATGATTTTATTATGCCACAGCATTTTTATGAAGGCGATTTACCTGTTCAAATGTGAACAAGCCGTAATAATTTTTGTTTGTTTCATTGTAAGCAATACTTGTGTACCATGTGACGTGAATAGTTGATCCTTCATCTTTCATGCAAAGCAGAATCAAAGCCTAGCCTTGAAGCTTGTTGTCTCGCACTCAGAGTGAAAAAGATAAACAGAAGTCAGTGTCATTGAAAGGAAACACATCCTATCAACAATTTTCCATAGTTGTACAGAATAAATGTTAATCAGTTTCATACAATGGTGGGAACGGAATATTATGTGAGATAGAGTTTAATAGAGGTTACTGGATATTATTAATTTCAGCAATATTGGACTTGGCTATTGCGTATTATTTATATATATATATATATATATATATATATATATATATATATATACTTTAATTCATTTCGTTAGATAGACATGGGATGGAAATAACCTGTAGTGTATTGTGTTTTTGCCCAAATTAACTTGCCATTTATTGCATCATTGGACTACTCGAATATTCAAACAGCTCTAAGTGAAATCCTTCTGAGTGAAATCCTTTAAATTAAATGTAAATGTATATTAGCACTGTTTAACATCATCAAAATGTACAATTAGTTCTTGTAGTTTTCAAATTTCACTTTTTATTTCGTCTGATATAAGCTGGAGTACTCGGAGAGATAATAAGGTAATACAGTCAAACCTGTCTACAGGGACCGCCCAAGGGAAACACAAAAAGTGGTCTTTGTAGACAGGTGGTCTTTGTAGACAGGTTCCTTTAGTACATGTTTCAATGAGAAACTATTTTCAAGGGAAACAAAAAATGTGCTTGTTGTAGACAGGTGGTCACTAAAGCAGGTTTTACTGTTCAATGGTCATATCATTTAATCATCTGAGATGTGCGGGGTAATGTATTGGGCAAAGTGGTTTGGACTGGCCCTTGCAAGTACTGACTAAAGTATTTCAAAACATCCTTCCAAGAATGTTTAAACTTGTGATATAATGTTTGGAAACAAATGAGTCTTTTTAATGTTGTCACCAACCACTCAAAGAGGTCCTCGCCAAATCAGACAGAGAGGGCTGCATTATAGCTCAGTATTTTATTATTTTTTTTATTATTGGTCTAGAATTCTGTTATGGATGATCTTTTGGTTTGTATGGCTTTGGGTCTGGGATAAAGTAGAAGTAGTTCAAGAACATGTATTCAGTTCAAGTAATAGTAGCATACATTTGAGGAGGCGTGATAGCTCAGTTGGTAGAGCAGTGGTTTCATTATCCGGCAATCCCGGTTGGAAACCAAGGCGATGCGCTAGTGCCCTTTGGTAAGGCATTAATCCTCATTACCTGGTCTCTCGGAGAGGACCTTAAGCGGTTGGTCTTCTGGATGCTTACTAACAAGCATTTATGCTTTCTTAGCAATCGGGTAAAATAACCACCACCACAATACATAGAAATCTGCTATAGTAGTAGCAGCAGAATTAGTAGTAGAAGTAGTAGCAGTTGTATTAGTAGCATTAGTAGCACTAGCAGCAGCAGCAACAGTAGTAGTAATATTATTATTAGTAATAGCAGTAGTACTAATATGAGTAAAGCAATCAAAAGCATTAAAGCACTCCTGGTTTTGATAAAAGCATAATAAGTTATACCATGAGAAAAAAGTCTGTTCCAGTATACAGCATTTGTATCTGCTTAGAGTAAGTGTATGCCTGACAAGCCTTTTTAAAAATGACATTATTTACTCTCTTTTTTTAATTTGAATCGATTTACTGTCTCTTTTTAATAACTTTCTTCCTTGCCAAGCATGCTCATGTGATAGAGAATATTGGGATGATGTTAATATGCAATAACCTTCATTGTAATTATCATAATTGTATATCATTAACTTTGTATTATCAATTTCTATCATTTCTCGTATATAAATGTATGTTGTTTCCGTAAAAAAAGTATGCCATTTCAATTTTCATGTGTATTTTTATTTCTAGGTACATGTTTGAAAATGTGTACATTTTATATCATGTATCGCTTCAAATGGATAGAATGTATTCTTCGCAGTATGCTGGTAATTATCATTTTTGTACATGTAGCTACAGGCATGTAAATGTGTACATTTCAGATCATGTATCTCTGAAAATGGAAAGTACGAATTTGACTTGTTACCATGGTAATCATCGTCTGATCGATTGCATGTTCATTTTAATAGGTGGTATACAATATATGGTGGTATATGTATGAATGAGGGAGTTTACATATAGATGTTGTGGAACTGGTGGAAATGATAAGAAATAACGTCGGCTACCTGCAAGAAGGGCTGTTATTGCCATAGACACTACATGAACTTCTTGCGGTCTTCCGGCCTTCTTGCAGGGAGTGACGATAAATAAATGTTTGAGGGTTTGGGGAAAATCATCCTCATCACTCTGCCTCTTTGGTTCAGCATTTTCACAAAATCTATCCTGAATAGTTACACTATAGCACTGCATATACAATGTATGAAACAAAAGCTTTGAGTACTGTGATGTTATAACTACATTGTATGAGGTGATTAAAGGTATAGACCAGTTTCGGAAAAGCCCCCCTCTCAAAAAATGAAATGGAAGCTCTTATTACCAATCATGTGAGAGCATATGTTTGAACTAATACGTGATTATACAAGTGATTATACAAGTAAATTATATCTATCCGAACTGGATAGATATCGCGTAGTCCCATATAAATCTTTCTTTGTACAGTGCTTCTAACTTTACCAAGACTGGGCCAAATTTCTTATCATTTTGATGATTCCAAAACCTTGCAGTACACACCAATACTTATATGCTTGAGGATCAACCTTTTCTAATCGATTCCCCAACGTTTCTTTCACAATGCAATCGCATGACCAGAACTGGTCTACACCTTTAATTTTTACCACAGTCACAGCATCATGACAGACACTGGACCCACCTTAGGTCAACAAATAATAACGGTCTGACGTCTGGAGTCAGACAGGTGTCTGTTTTATACCGGTAGGTTGATTGTGTTATGAGGTTCTTTAGGGGTAATGTAGAGTACCAAAGTTTGACATCGTACTTGCTATTAATCTGTTGACTACTGAATTATCTAATTCACATAGACTTAACACAGGGACCACCGCGTTCAAGTAAGCGATGGGCTAAGTTGTCACGGTGGCTGGTTCCAAACAATTATGTGCTTAACAATGGTGTAAAGGACGCATCGGCCCCAAGCCCTTGATTCGCCCTGCCATTTGCTTGAATGATTTTGTAGTGAACATCATGCTGTTAGGAACTAGGGCCCTGTTTCATGAAACTTGTTATCGATAACAAGTTACAACTTACTGTTATAAGCTACTGAAATCATGGCATCTGATTGGCTGAGAGCAAATTTGTCATAGAAATTTAGCATTTGTTATAGATAACAAGTTTTATGAAACAGGCCCCAGTAATCTGACAAAGAACAATATGATGTTTGCACTTTGATATGCTGGTGCAGAAAGGTCATCAATTCAGTATCACATCAACTGTAACAAAATACTTGAAACGCTCCATTGTATGTTTCATCGAGCATGTAGAATTCAACCACTTACATGTTTAGTTGAAAAGGTTGAAATAGTGCACATTTGGCGAAGTAGGATGTCTATTTGCTAGCATCTATTATTCTATTTCCATTTTTTATTTATTTCTCAGTCACCTTTTAAATTGTCTTTTATCTGTCAATGTACTTGTTTTGTAGAAAGAAGAATCGCTATATCTTGTCTTTTCGGTGCTAGATTGAAGAAAAACGTATAGATCATAGTTGTCTATTTATCAATGTTTGTATTATACGATTTGTACTTCGAAGTAATATATTTAGGAAAGTGACAATGGTTACTCTAAAGCTTTTGTAAAAATGCTCTAGTAATGCTTATTCATTTGTTTGTAGGAATATATTATCTTTAAACCACTTGGCAATAGAATATCACTTGGGCTATGGGATAAACTTTCTTTCCTCTATAAACTGCTATCTACCCTTTCAATGAGAGGATTGTCAAGATAATAGCCCCACCAAACTGGTTGTCTCTTGCTTTTGAACCACAGTTTCTTCTTCATCTGGTAATATTCAAGGGGCCATGTAGCCTACTACAAAGATGGGCTGATGGTTGCAAGAGGTATGAGGAAGATAAATGAGACCTAGAGGGGTCTTAATTCTGTGAGTAACGTCAAGATACATGTACATGCAGTTCACATGCAGGAGATGCATGTAAGTTTCATTTACGGTAAAGAAAAACTGGTGTCATTTTGAAAAGGATGTTATCTCGGGTCCCTGCAAGAAGGTCGCTTCTGCCATGCTCAATACATACTGGTAGTTCAGACAACCTTCTGGCAATCGGCTGATGATCTAAAAGAAAACCTAGGTTATGCTACATTATGCAAACCAAAAGATTCTAGGCCATGTAAAATTGATTTCATGTTGATCGTCCCCGCCCGCTTCCTTTTTGGGGGCCGCCTCCTATTTTTTGTTATTTTTTTTTTTTGTTTTTGTTTTTGTTTTTGATTTTTTTTTTTTTTTTTGATTTTTTTTTTTTTGAAAGAAAAAAAACATGAAAAACACTGCTAAAATGGCTCTATTTCTGATTTAAAAAAAAAAAAATTGTCGGCGGCCATCTTGAAAAAAAATAGCCTCGACTGTCGGGGAAAATGTACCGAGCGGCCATTTTGAGCGGCCATTTTGAAATATCAAATATCAAATAACATGGTACACCCTCCTCCTCTTTTTCAAAAAATCCGGACGATCAACATGTAATCAATTTTACATGGCCCTATCTAATTTAGATCTGCTTTGCAAGTTTGATGAATGCAATTTGCTCGAGAAATTGTTGTTCTTGTACAGGAAACTGTCAAAGATGTTGAATAAAAACAGTGCTTTATTTAATACCCTGTCACCTGCATGAAGGGACGGGTCCAGTATGCATGTACTGCTAACCTACAAGGTTGTAATTCTTAAATAGAGGTATTAAAAAGTTATAATGGAAAAGACAATCCTGTGTTACCAGTTGGTTTAGTGATTCAGCAAACTTGTTAGATATAAACTTTGAATTTAAATGTGAATTATATGCAAGTTGTACAGATAGTGGATTATGAACATAGTAAGGTTGGCAACAGGCACAGATATTAGGGAAGGGATGTCAAACTTGGCCATGCACCTATTCCAGCTCCCCCTCTCCTTTTTTTTTGGGGGGGGGGGGGGTGTGAATTGTTTAAAAACATAAGAACGTTCTTGACTCCCTGAGGAAGGAGGTACATGTATTATGTAAATAGTAAATAACAGAAGTTGAATAAGTATTTTGAGAGTTACAGAGTTCTATGGTATGCCATGAATAGTCTTGCCATGCGAGTTATCATGCCTTTCTTCTCCCTCTCTCTCTCTCTCTCTCTCTATCTCACTCTCTCTATATATCTTTCCCTCTCTCTTCCTCTCTCTCTCTCGCTTCCTCTCTATATCTCTCTCTCTCTCTATATATATATCTTTCCCTCTCTCTTCCTCTCTCTATCTCTCTCGCTTCGTCTCTCTATCTCTCTCGCTTTCTCTCTCTCTCTCTCTTTCTCTCTCCATCTCCATTTCCTCCACTACCTCTCTCTCTCTCTCTCTCTCCCCCATCTTCATCCCCACTGTCTTATTACTCTCTCTCTCTTGCTATCTATCAGTCTGCCTTTCTGTCTCTCTCTGCCCCCCCCCCCCCTCCGAGTCTCTCTCTCTCTCTCTCTATTTCAATCAATTTTAACAGGCAGTTAACATTTTAAATCTGAAACATTTATTGCTACGAATGTGCAGATGATTTATGACGCATATATCACTTGCATGTGCATGTCATGCAGTACAAAAGAGTATAAAGTGCTCATGTAACAGTGATTGAATACAACTCCATACACATAAAGACATTATGTACATGTAAGCAATATATGTAATAATCAGATATTGTACAGTGTTATTGTGCATGTGCTATTTGCAGTCGTCTGAGCAATTTGCGCTCTGATAATCCATCCGATTGAGCAAAGGTTCACCAAATTTGTTATGAGTATACATTTTATTGTAGAATAGTGCATGTCATTTACACTGTTATTGCCAAGCAATTCTTCAATGTACTTTTTATTCATTTTTTTTTTAGAAAGAATCAGTATTTGTTATGCA